AACGAAATCGTTTAAGAATTCAAACAGAATAGAAAACCTACAAGGTTTGTATCAAGGTCAATGTTCTCCATAGTTTCTTGTGTTAAGCGACCAGGGAAAAGTGCAACAATTTCTTTATGTACCAAAGCTAGGTGAACAAAAAATTTCTTACCCATGCACGCGGATTGATCGCCGTCACGACCAATAAGAAAACCTTCCTAAGAATTAAAATGTTACCTCCTCAAGAAGGGTAAAATGTTACCTGATAGACATGACTGGCAAATGCTGCGCTGGTCAGAAAGCCAATGGACGGACCAGAAACAAATACGTTATCAAGGGCCTGAATTGACATCTAGAAAGTAAAGAACAAATTTCAACGACAAATACGGCCCCAGTAACACATGTCGAGCCTTGACAAAAGGCCCCCATTGAAGCCACCATCCCCTGATACGATGCTATATTCTTTTCAAAAGGCTATTTGCCTTAAATAGCGTCTCGTATAAAAATAATGTGGTAAAGCATCTTCAGAGGATGAGGATAGATCTGATTAAGTAACGAATGTCTGTCGTAGCAGCAAAAAAATAATTTAGCCCTATAGTGGGAAATTGAAGTTCCGGTTTCGACACGTACTCACCAGATTTAGGGCAAATAAAACTACGATATAACTACAGTATGTCAGGAAATAATGCATGATGTGGTCCTTGGTATACATAAAACACCAGTTTTAGATTACTGGCGACGATAGACTCAATTCATAGGCATTTTAGATGCATAAATACCTTAATTAAGCAAACGGAAACATTTCACCTGTAACGATATTGCGCCTGAAACTGCTATAAAAACTAGACAAATTACAAAGTGTCATTGGTATTAAGAACCAGTTTAAACTATGGTAGCAGGAGTAGTACTCCTAAAACGACTGCAGAATCTGTGTGATCGGAGACACACTAGCAGGCAGGTTTATAAATAGGCTCTCATTTTCGGCACCTCCATACATCCTTACTAGGCAATTATGGTGGAAGAATGTACGAGGCTTGAGTTAGGTGAAACGTTTTATATTAAAGGCAGCTAAATACGTGAAACGACACATATGATTGCACCGAACTCAGGATATTCATCAATTAGTGTTCCACTTAAGACTCTTGATAAAATTACGGTACAAGTGGGGCGCTACTACATATACGCAGTTTCTGCAATTGTGATAAGCTGTCGACGAAATCCATTCTAGCAGATTGGATAAGCGTAAAGAACACATTAGACGACTTTAATTCATCATCATAAGATATAGGGTTCGCTTTCTAGCGTTATATGATATTTTTATATTATTCTGATCCATTGACATTGAGGAAACCGAGAAACACAACTTTTCGTATTATGAATGTACAGAGAATCGTAAAGTGGCAACACTTCAACACGTGAAATACGGGTTCCCGTGAAGGTTATTAAATATTATTCCTTCTTATATTCCCACAGAGGCTACATGTTACAAATCACAACGTCCGCCAGTCAAGAGAATATAGAATACATTACGTTAGACAGCGGAAGATGATGGAGCCAAATACACACCTACCCAACTATTTTGAAATAGCGCACTTTCACCCAATTAATTTAATTAAAAGCTTTCATTTTATTGCCATAATGAAATGATAAGGTTTTTTTGTGTTGCCCTAAAGACTGCGATGCAAGGGCGAAAGTTTAACATAATCTGGTACCTGAAGATGAACCACCTGAGGAACGATACTTATACTTTCTATCGATCACTATTATGCGGAGAAAATACAGACACATTGGAAATGAACTGTGTTTGTGTTTAAGATTTTAAGTCTCTGTAATCACCAAACTATCATATGATTATTTGATCAAATAAATCGTTTCATGTTTATATTGAATGCAGAGTTATTTATTTTTATTGGCAATCCAGAAATTTTGTTATAAGTAGCAAACTAAGTCAACAACGATAAGAGGAAAATGAAGAAAATACTTCTATTTATTTTTCCAATTAAATCTGTAATGTTGTGTTGGTATTATGCCCATGGACTTTATGTTAGTTTCCAAGGTGCATCAAATAGCGATTGCAACCCAGTGGATATGTGATAATGTGTGAAATGCTATCTTGAACTCATACTGGAAAGCCAATTAACTGTTTTTTTTGTCATCATCCAGCAATATTAATAATCCATAAATGTTGAATTCCCGTGATTACAGCAACAACTACAAGAGTAGATGCTGGAGTTTAGTGTCTTTATGTAATACTACATATTTAAAAACAAGCTCACAGCTACACTTCTTCCTTTAAGAAAAAAAGAGTTCCATTTAATAATACGCCTCCTTCAATATAGCGAATAATATGCAGCAGTGAAATGAGTATTAAAATATAATATACGCTTTTTTTATTGAAATGATTTTAATGGCGTTATAGTGACAGTTAGCATTTTGCAAATTTGCTTATTTTTGCCTAATTTTTAAGAAGATTCACATTTAGCTACAGGGTTCCACAACTTTAGTTTTGAATAGATGAAAAAAAGGAACTTTGCGTTCATTACAATAAAAAATTTGGAAAAAACTAATGTTTCGTCAAATTGGTTAACTGTTAAGTTTCATATATATTGTAGTTTTTGATTATTAAATGCCTAATATAAACACACCAGGTGTTTGCAATTGGAGGTCACTTAATTTTCAGATTAGGTATATCTGGACGAGTATATTTTTGTTTCCGATTTCTAAAGGATAAAAGCTAATTTTAGTTTGCATTCCTCCACTCCAAAAGCAGTCATGGCCCCTATTTGCATCCGAAACTAGTGATTTATAAAAGTGCTCAAAATATGTCTCCTTACCATACTTTCAATTCTTACTCAATCAAACCTGACACAATCATGTCTTCTTCACAACTACCGTGCTCCGAGCATATGGATTATGGAAGAAGCCATCAAGACTGCTTTCTCTGTAAAATGACAAGGCCTCAAAATAAACCACTGGTGTAAAAAGCAACTATCACGCTATTCCTCCATGCGTCCTCGGGACTGTTTATCCTCCTCAAAATGCTACCGATTTCATCATCACACCATTTCTAGCAACCAGTATATTATGTATCGTGCAATTCGTCTTCTCGATTTGATGTTGCTCTGTTATTTTTCAATATGCCTACACCGGAATGAGCAGTGAACAGTTAGGAATCGTTGGACGACTACATGCAAAGCCACAACCAGATTGAAAACAGTAAACCCCAATTCTGGAATATTGCATGTCAAATTACTTTGCACTCGAAAGTTATGTAGGCAGTTGATTTGCATAATTACTGCTTAATTGTGAGCTTTCGATGATTGAACCATTCAACCCCTCGTAGCATAATTTAAAACAATCAACAAGTTAAATGCACAAACCCGGTGCTTTAGTGCTACAGGGAAAAAACGTGACAATGCACCATGCCCCGAAACAAACAGACTACCGGGAAAATCCACCTTGGCTGAACTGCTCCTATTTCACTACTCGACAAACAAGTGTGAACGAGTTCCGACGGCTACTGCAACAATCATTTTGCACATGCCAACACATGATAGATTGGGAAATGGACACACAGTAAAGCACTACCCTTCAGAACACCATTTTTCTGACGGTCCCATTGCTAATATCGATTGCCACTTTTTCGTTAGTCATTAGTCACATCATAGTTTTGTTGATGGTCTGCTTTCGAGTTTAGAACCCAATTGCGATTGGCCTGTTGGAGGTCAGTTGTCTGTATGGTTTGGCTGAAATGTAAAAGCCTCTGTTCGATGCTAGATGAATAAATGTTAGCATCTACTGACTATAGCCAGGTTTACGAATAGACCAGCCAGTGTTTGGTAGTCGCGGAAGGAGAAGGAATTTCATTGCATTCAGAGTAATTCACTTCTGTTTGTATTCGACTTCGCCTTATGGGAACCACCAGCAGCTTCTCATCAGTATATTTGACTGAATTTGCTGTTACAGACGATGCACCATCCGGGGTGTCAGTCACCAATTTTGCCATGGATAAATGATAGCCTGCACCACAGCGGCAACATTTTTATCCGCGAAGTTGTGACAAGTACACCCAGGAATATCGAAAGCGCGTGGGTGAACAATGCCAGATATCGACAGGTGTGAAGATAGTGCGGCAATTTTAGGATATTGTCACGAGATATTTGTGATTTAAAAACATTTTTGGCATTGGAGAAGGGAGGAGATTTTCAAGCAAATGGCAGATCACAGGGAGCACAACTCATGCTGAAGCAGTTTTGCCTCGTCATTTCATAATTTTTGCTTAAAGGCGGTTTCACAAACCTAACTATATTAGAGTTGAACAGTTCTGACTAGGTCATTCTTGTACACGTTTACGAACGGTCCAAATATGACCACTGCCGTCTGTAAGTCACTTTTAAATAATTTCCAGTTTCCCCAAAACCAATTCTACCTGAAAAATCCTATAGCTAGACAAATTAGGCCCTCGACTTAGACGATAAAGTAATAGTGAGTGACTATCTATGAGACGCTAGTTACTTAGTTTTCAACAAATGCGTCTGTGTGCAGATATTTTCTTGTTCAAATGCCATGAGTCAACTGTGATGGCGCATGATTACCCTAGTTAGCGTAGCAACAGACCAAACTACTAAAACTAACATGCAAAGTTATATAGTAACGTCATGAAAGCAGATTTCGGTAAAAACACGTACCTCTAAATAACTATTTACCATCTAAATGTAATGTTTGCGAAGAGCGGACACTAACAAGCAGGACGAATTTTCATTCAGGTAATTCTATACAATACGCGGCAAGGAATCATACCCCATTTATAGAGCACTCACAGATATGATTTTAAACAGTACGCCGCGCCATCACAGAAGGTAGAAAAGCATTAAAAATTGTCTTCTTTTTTTACAAAAAAAAAAACTACCAACAAATAATCTAAAAAGAAGTTTTTGATGGCATTGCAAACACAGACAACGTCGTTGTGAAATTACAGTTAATAAGCACTTACACTTAGATACAGTAACAAATTAATAACTTTAGTTATCATAGTCCGATTCTTTCTGCTCACTGAACTCATCGTCAATCTCTTCGTCCGCTTTGAAATCTTTTTCACAACAGTGGTACACAAAAGTTGTACAGTACATGTGAGACAGTGCAACGTTTCCTGATCGCAGTCGATCGCTAAAAAATACGGAAAAAGATGTCCACTAGAGCCTTAGACTTCATAATTACTTCATTTTTACCTAACTGGCATCATGTAGCGGACCATATAGGTGACCAGATGTCCGCTGTTAACAACACTATTCACGGTTTTTGACCTCAAGAAGAAGAAGGAGCGGAGCAGGAAAAGGATGCTGCCCGTTAGGTACTTACATAGTTAATTCTACACTTGATAATTTACTGTTTTATCAATAAAACAATCAACTGTTGTGAATCGTGTTGATCCACACTCGGTAATTCGATCATCTCAGCCTCCGACACAGGGTCCCCCTTCTCACATCATGTCGCCAGCCGCGCAGATCCTAAACTCCCCCTCATTCTCCCGAACATCTATCCTAGATTATCCTCACAACTAGGTCTCAATGTTGGCTCATCTCTGACTCAAATCAAAGGCTAATAAATACACACGCGCAGACGCCACGTGGTTGAGGTCTCTGTCCACGTCCTCTGTAGTCTTAATCTTCATCGCGAGTACCAGGGAAGCATAATCGAGGCAGTCAACTCAGCGGCCTCGGCGTGGTTCAAAACAGCATGTTGGGGCTCAGAAAAATTTGTGGTCCCGACGTGATGAAAGGTTATCCGAATTCACACAAAACAACTTTCACTCACTTGAGCCATTCCACAGCATAAAGTAGAGAGGCCCCTCCCGCATCAACGCCGATCGAGTTCAGAATAGTAATGACGGCAACCACACTGGCACTGGGAATATTTGGCAAGGCCGAGACATAAGCAGTAGCTAGGATCCTGCATAAACATGAAGGCTGTAAGAACAACCCGAAGAAAGCAAGCGTAGTGATTAAAAAAGTATTATGAAACGTACACGACAATCACGACCTTTCCTGCATCGAGATTTACACCAGCCATTTGAGCAACGAAGAAGACTGAACCCACGATGAAGATGGCAGACGCGTCACTCTTCATGGTACCAGCAATGGGCAACACAAATCGGGAAATGGCTTTGGGAATTCCGTAGGTGTCACAAGCATCATAGCACTTGGGTAACGACACAATGCTAGAAGGCAGACAGTCATTGTCGAGATTTTGCAATCTCGTCTAACGTGTTTGCGTTTGTTTATTGAACATTTTGGTTATGTTTTGCTTTTAAAAACGAAAGAGAGTTGTAAGTGACGTTTAGAAGCAACTAATTTTGGGGCTAGATCAGTATTTATCAATAAATTAAGCGGTGGATCTGCAGTCAAAGTTTCTATGGATACTTTAGACTGTAAAGTGGAAACATTGGAAGACTACCACACCCGTAAACTCACCCGGATGTTGTGGCGAATGCAATAAAGTAGGGAGGCAGGCACAGTCGAAGAATTCGGAAAGGATTTTTGCCAAGACAGACCAATGAGAGCAGTAACAAGATGAAGTGAGTAATTTGACCTGCAAAGTTGAGGGCTATGAAAAGACCCAGCGAGATGAACGTGTTTGTCAGATCATCCACCTCCGAGATTGCGCTCATCACCATAAACATGACACCGACCGGAGTGACCCTGAAGTGAAAAAAAGTCACAATCTCTCTCTTCAGAGGTAGCCTGGTTGGCAGTAGCCCTTAACTCTCATCTTGTGCTCCTGATCGTACGTCAAACAACAGACTTTGACAGCACTCTTGTTGGATACTGATTTACTACCGTGTATTCCCTGTTGCAAATGCTGTGGCTATTTAACAAGAACCCGAAGTCGTTGTAGGAACTTACAGCAGGAACTTCTGCATCAGAAGCATGACGACTTCACCCAGGGAGCCGAAGAAGTTCTTGAAGGGTACGCCCTTTTCTTTAGCCACGTTTGTTGCAAGGCCAAACACAACCGAACAGAACAGGACACCTGCAGAGAAGTTCACAAAACTCCCACTTGACAACTTATCAGCAAGACTATGCGCCAACACTGGCACATATTGAGCCAGATTGGACACGAAGAAGCGTGTGACTGGGAAAGTTGGTTGGTGACACCTTACATGCATGAATTCGCGTCGTATTCGAGACACAGATCTCTAGTGCTCAAAAGTTCCAGGCCTTCGACTGTGGGTGCAGGTGGACAAATCCACACACTCAAGTCGTTTCCACACTGTAGCATTAAACTCGCCTACTTGCTAAGCACACATTTAAATTCACCAATTCTGCTACCGACGCTTACTTCAACTGGCACTGGCATGCTAGGGTTTGCACCCATCCACACCAACTAAGGCCTTTACACCACTGTTGCATTCGCTGCTTACCATCTTATCAAATCCCAGTCAAGCTTGAGCTGCGACATCAGGGAAGGATGTGATCAGTTTTTCTCATGAGTAAATTTGCATGCCACTCCTCGCTGTAGACGTCGATTCTAGTGGTTTGTGATGGTACAAAACTAGATGTTTCGCCTAATTTCAAATTTATGCCTTTCTGATCATTCACGATATCATTAATCTTCAATACGCCGTTTAACTGAGTGCAAGCAATGGCCTCCTCTTATTTGAAGCTGAGCTTACCAATCATGTTGGTGCCACTGAGAGTAATCGATTCGTAGGTTACTTCATTTGCCGCATTGATTATTGGGTTACTGAAGTTCGTGCCGGCCTAGAAAGAGACGAAATATTGCAATAGATGAGGTCTCATTGTCTGATGCCGCGGACAACCAGTGTCAGGCCTAGAATTACCACACCCAAAATGACCCATTTTGTAAAACGGTTATTTAAAATAGGCATGCCTCGAGATGCCGACAACCACGTTGATGCTCCGCGTTAATTCGGAGCCTGTCCGAATTCACGTATTTGGGAGTGATTTCCTGGTATCAACGCAACACACTAGTAGCCTTCCAACTCAGATCATTAACCAAAAGCCTGTGAGTATTCAGATCGAGGAAGCCACACGAAAGCCGTACTCAAGGTAAACACCGGTGTAACAAATCGGTGGTTCATGTCGTGCCGACTATTTACCCTGCACCCATTCTGGCGAAATGCGAATCAATTACACTGCCGTTCGTGATGAGCATTGACTAAACAAGTGAACGCTCAGCTGCTTTGACCTACGAGGATTGGTGGGAGGTGAAGGCAATCAGGACAAAAAACGTGGAGCACGGGCACACGTGTGCGTGGGCGGCGCGCGTGCGCCAGCACAAACCCAGCACGAGTTCAGCTACAAGTGGAAGACGACGCATCCATCGCCGTGCTTTTATGGGCTTGTCGAGGTGCACTCAGTCCACTTGCTCAAAAGGCGACATGCAAGCAAGCATTAGCAAAGAGTGTTACCTGGAAGAGAGTCACGCCGACAATGTTGTCCGGAAAGATATTCCTGCAGGTGCAAAACAGGGAATGGTCAAGACAGTGGTAAGAAAGTGTGGGGTGTTTTAGTTGCAACACTCACAGGAGAAGATCACGGAAGATGTATGATATTTGACTGGAGTCTCCCGACTCTGTGGCGTTACCACCTTGATTACCAACCGACGCACCTGTAAATAGACAAGAATAAAGCGTTGCTCATTTTGACTAAACACTACTACCACTCTATATTAGCACTTTATTAGTTGTGTGTACATAAGTAGATAGCCAGCTACTTCGTAATTGCATTGAATCGAAACTCTAATGTTTGTGGATGCGATGGTTCATTTAATCGAAATATGGCCGAAGCAATAAGAGAGATATTTGACAACTCTGCTTAGAGGGTTCGGACTATGGCATGTGTGAGCACCGATTACCGGAAGACCCACAGGTTTGGACATGTGGCTGAATGGCCAGGTTTACTTTTATACAAATGGGGCCACACATTCAATGCAACTTCATCGTGAACATGCAGGAGATGCTGTGAATCGTGTTTATTTCCTCCCCTTAATCCGGTCGATCCACCTCCGACTCAGGGTTCTCCTTTTCGCAGCATTTCGCCAGCCGCGCGGATCCTCAATTCCAGCCTTATTCACAAGAATATGTACTTTGGATTAGCCTCACACCTAGGTCTTGATGTTAGCGCATGCATGACTCACAAATCCGAGGTATAAATACACACGCGCAAATCCCGCACACGACACAACGACATCAACGTGGTTGAGCTCTGAAGTAAACGGTTGCGCCCACGTCCTCTCCGATCTTTTTCTTCACCGCGGGTATTAGGGAAGCTTAAGTGGGTCAGGGTTAATTCCGTGGCCCCGGCGTGGTTCAAGACCACATCCTGGGGCCCACAACAGAGGCCATGCGTAATGAGGCAAAACGTCCAGTTACCTGGCTTGATGATGTAAGAATAGGCAAGGCCAATGAGCGAGGAGATCAGGTTGCATGACAGAATGTAGCCCAGGGCGACACCACTGACTTTGCCATTTTCCTTAGGATTCAGGTCGGCAAGCACTACAAGCAAAGGTCGTGGAGTCGGTATAATGACAGTCGCATTACACATTACTCAGATAATGTCGTTCACTCTAGACCTTACCATTAATCACGTTGGATACAATCATTGGAAGGATGGTCAGTTGAAGAACGCGAATGTACAAAACTCCCGGCATTCCTTAAGAAAAGCGGAATTTTAGGAAAAAAATTCAATGGTTTGAATCAGAGTTATCGCTTTTTCTAACATACACAGCAAGTTGTGATCTGTGTGTACAAATATGCCAGTGGCTCTTACGTACCTACATTGTTATATCAACGTATCTAATCGTGGTAGTCTGTATATTAAAGGCAAATTGACACTAATATAAAGTCTAAATTTGAAATTTGAGCGTTCAAGCAATAAGCGTGGCCCTTATTTGAAAAAAGGCAATGACATGTTAAAAACCAAACAATGCAGAAAGTTCGAACTCACCGAGCCAGACTTTGCCTGTTTCACTGATACCAACCTTCTGGATACCGAAACCGACACCAAACCCTATCACCACACCGATAATTGTCGTGATCATGAACCAATTTTCCACGAAGAAGTTCTTTTTTTTCTTCGCAGGCACCTCTATCGTCTCACCCTCGAAATCCTCCTCTATACCTTCGGAGTGCGTAATAGACATGCTTTCAGTTCGACGTGGATTTTCACACTGTGAGGTCACGACCATTTACATGCCAAGTGAACCAATTGTGATTCAGAGCGGGGTTAAGGTGTGAGTGAGCTTGCGGAGCAATTTATAGAAGCGTAACTCATTGGACCGTCACGGCTATTCACTCTTTTGTTGTGTAAGTTTTAATTCGCAAGTCACGTACTTATCAGTATTATATATTCTAGCACATGCACTGATTTTGAATTTTATCAACTACGAGGATTACTTTGTCACATAATTTTTAAGTCATGGATGTGACAGCAATTGGATTCAGCACAATAAAGGTGAAACGTTCTCCTTTACACAAAACATTTTTTTTTTCATGACAAGAGCTGGCTTCAAATATGTGGTCAAATGCTTTAAGTAAACAAAGTCATCGATCGATAATGATGCAAATTTCACAATGAGAGGTATTCAAATCAACAGAGGGCTGTGGGTCTCTGGAGGCGGAAAAAAGGCACTCAGATCAAATGCTTCTAATTATTTGATCAATTGCTCTCATGTCCCCCGTAACTTTCTTTCGTCTTCCAAAATCATTTTCAGATTTTAACATGTCGCCACTCTGATTGGCTAATTCATCTCACAGTTCACTTACCGTAACGTTGTCAATATGCAATTTCACCCGGAACATGCTTATTTAGACCTACCACGTGAGGTCGACTTTATTTTATCGAACAACTTATAGAATTAACAAAAACTGCGGTTCATGTTTACACAATTTGACTGGAGTAATATGTTCAATTGGGCAAAAATTGAAAAGGAAAATTTTGAAATCTAAAATCCTGTCATGAAAGTTGAGCTAATAAAATGTTCCAACATGTGGCTAAAGTGAAATACAAAATGTAAGTTTAAGGTTTTTTGAGTATAACTGAATCAAGCCTATCAGTTCACTTCATCCACGAAATAATTTATTAGGTTGTGTACTTTCCAACTGGCCCATTACACACATACTTACCACGAAATAATGTCTGAGCTACTGCCTGACTAGAAATCTCCCGAAAACAGCATGAATTTAGAAAAGGATTTTAACCGTTGGCCTTACAATCATGGTAACTATGTAGGTTCGGCCCCACAATTTCTACAGAGGTGCCTGAGACGGCATTCATGTGCGATGGTAAGTTGGCTTTGTTACAGCAGTAATGGCTTAGGAATAGCCGCCTGTGCCTAGAGCTTCTTAGACTTTCTAATACTTTTCAGTGCAGCCTTATAAAATCGGCTCTAAACCCACTGGCTGAAGGATCCAAATGGTCATTTTACACAGATGATGAGATATAATTTTTTAAGAAATCTGAGTCTGTGACCTATTCTTACGATTTAATAGTAGATTAAATATCAGTTGTGTGCATGATTATCCCCGATTACCACGTAAAACCCTCCTATCGTAAATGGCAACACGGTTTACACAATGTGCAAAGGAAATACAGTGGATCTAGATAATTCATTAACACGAATGACCAAACACGCGGTTTACCCAATCCCCATACAAGCACAGATGCCTGTCGACCTGCAGTGTGAACACGCCGGCGTCACTGACTCCCAGCCGCTCACGTTCACGACCTACCAATACGCATGGACAAACCCGAGTCAAGATGAGTCTGGTCTTCAAAATATTTGCTGTACACATAATGATGATTGGTGTTTATTGTATGGGATAGTACCTCCATGTTACTAACGTTGTGGATTGTCTTTTATTCGATGTACGTCTCTCATCGTGGGCATCATAGTTTTGAAAACGATTATTGCTTACAACGAGTGTTTATGGCTGTTTTCGTTTTTCTTTACAAGTAGTTTATTGGAGCAAAATGCTGTGGTGATGACTGCCGTTAAATCCACAGAGCGTATTGTTTCCAGCTGTGTGAATAGTTTTGGCATCACGAGACTAGAGGCTTCGCATAAAGCCATCGAATCTTTCTAAGGAGTCGGCATAAAACCCAGCTAATCACACAAGAACGACGCGTGACAGGGGTTCGCTGTATTCAGAAATAACGTAAAGGCGTTTGTAAAAAAGCATAAATGCGATTTTCGCAAAAGCTCCTGTGTACAATTGGGGTAGGTAGCTAGCTATTATTTTGCCGCGAATCCGATAATCTAGACAATTTTCTTCTACTTCACTCTAATGCAATGACGGAAATCAATTTTTCTCACTTAACTGAACAATACTTTATTTCCACGATTAGGGAGGCAAAAGAAAATAAAAATTCGAGAATGTTCATTTAATTAAAAAGTAGCCAGGTAATGCACAGAGGCGCTATAAAAGGAATCAGATATTGTTTATAAAAGAAAGCACCTGTCCATCAAATTCCTTAACACGTATATTGTAGGCTAAGCATTATGTCCATTGGTGTATACATTTGATTATTACAACAACTAGTCCTCTTGTGGTTGGCTCTCCCTGTATTTATACCTCATAAAGTAATGTTGGTTGTTGCAAACGCAATGAAGTAAATCGAAAAGGAGTATTTAAGGATGGCAAATGGATTCTTACCCAGTATAACAAGACTTAAAAGCAGAAAAACAAGGTAAGTGAACTGTCCCAAGACGATAAGTAGAACAAAGAAACACAGGGAGAGGAATGTGTCGGTTATGTCTTCTACTTGCGCAATCGAATTCATCACCCTTAACATAACGCCAATCAATGTAATCCTGGTTCAGGAGGAAAAGTAAAACCGAGTTAAGACTTCAAAATTTTTCTTGGTCCCAATCTAGAATTCAGAGCCCGCAGACAACAATTCTCGAAATAGTTATATCAAGAATTTCGCTTTTAAAGTTCGCTGAGCTCCATTTGAATACCAAAGCCTGCACCGAAGCCGATGATAACACCAATGATTGTAGCAATCATGAACCAGTTATTGAGGAAACAGCCAACGACCCTTTGATGTCTCGCTTTCGAGGACACTGAGGACGCATCATCGCTTTCAAATATCAGGTTAGACATTTCTTTAAGTGTCTTTCTCAACATGCAGCCAAATTTACATATCTGTCTTATGTCTCCGACAGAGCCAACTATTTACTAGCGAATTAAAAGCATGTGTTTTTTGCTTTGCAATGATTTCATCAGGTCCCTGTCTTCCCCATAATAACGCATGCATCACCAACAATATATACTAAGCCTCGATTTGTTTATGTCAATGCAGCCAAACATATTCGTTGCTGCTTCCATTCCCGTCAATATCTCATGCACTTAGTTTTAGCCGTTGAGGTGAAATGATTTTAAAACTTTTGCAATCTACTGGTCAAGGATTTGGTATCGTGTTGAATCCATAATGCAAAGTGCCCTGTGTGAATCTACCTACTGGCTGTTTCACTCATAATAGTGATGGCACCTGGTTTAAAAAAATCCCGCTTACAATTAAGCAGCCATGTTCAGTTGTTGAACATCTCATTCTCTTTAGTCCAATAAACACTGTGGATTTTAAATTTGACTAAATTTAGACAATGACGTACAAGAAATTAGCAGCTAAACCTGAACAACAAAAGGTCATACGGGAATGAATAAATTGTACTTTCCATATCTAGGCCAGGCATTTAATTTTAATGCTTTGGTGCTGCTATAGCGTAACCTTCAGGATGTTGAGACGAGAGTTTTGTGCAAGGGTAATGCACAACGAAGAAGCAGTGTCACGGTGTCTTCTCTATCAGGGTCTCTTAATAGTGAAACAGCCTTCCGAATGTTCCAAAGAGCAAGAAGGAGTAATGAATGCGTCCATTGTTGTGATATGAATGGAAGAATCGACCGCAGTTAAAAGCTCTGTGAAGTTTCAAGAGCTATTTTATCTCGCGGGTAACAGAAGGCTGCTCAACGAAGTGCCAAAGCTTACTGTCAGATCATTAAATATCGTGGTCAGGTTATTCAATTGCTGTTAGAAAATCTACTCCAAAGTGGCATCTTTGACAGAAGAAGAAAGCTGAATGTAACACCGGGAATCCGAAACTCCAACAATGGCTATCAATGGGGGTGGAGATGTGTCTTTGAAAGAAAACAGTGGCGATCTAGGGCAAATTTTCTGGAACATCGGCTAACACTTTGGTGGGTCATGGGTCTGGATTGTGTTAGGGTACCGATTTTAGGTACTCCTAAATGCACAAAACGGATACAAAGAAGTTGGTTCCAATTATTGATATGAGGTTCAACTATGCTCTCTGATGAATGGCCGGCTTGCCGGTGAGTGAATTGGGCTTGATACAATAACAAAATCGTTGATAAACAGGGAGCATATATTGATCCGAATGTACATAAGAACACCCAACAAATCGGGAAGAGTCGGTTAGACGGCAAGATTGAGATTACAAAGAAACGTCGAGAATTCCACAGCATTCACCTTAGAATCTCTTAGGTGAACACTGCTGGCGTGCCTTGAATAAGAATGGAGACCATTTCGTAGAATCCAAATCGAAATTAAAAACGTCTATTGATTGGTCATAAATACTCTTCCTAAATTACTTTTACACAAAATATACGGCACTTTTTCAAATTGCTTCTAAGCATCAATATGTACCTTTTCTCCCTTCTCATGTTTCCCGAATTTCCGGACATATTAACCAGAATCATGCGGAATTGGCAGTAACGCAACCGTGTAGCTTAAATTTATCCTATCAAGTGCCTAAGTTGCAGTACACCTGAGTTATTTATAATGTCCTGTGCGTATTGAGCATTAGTCAAAGCCGTGACTTGATAATGGTGCAAATGTTATCTTATGACGGTTCACATGGTACCAATCTGAACCCGAAAAAAGTTGCAGAAAAGTCGAAAGATCGCACATGAAGTTGTCGAGGTTAAGCATAATGCAGGATAAAATGATCCACAAATTCTGATCACGATTGATGGAAAAAAGATACAGTCTGAAAATTTTATTTTAAGCACCAACAATGAGGGATTTAATAGACAGGGGAAACAATTAGACAAAAGTGATTTAAGAAAATGTAATATTCGAAGCAGTTACAATTGGTGGATTCGAGAACGTTTGTTTTGTGGTCCACTCGTTTCGTCATAATCATTACTATTTCATCCTACATTGAGGCTGAGACATGAAATTTTAGTTCCGATTACCTTCGATTAGATGTGTTGATCACGCAGAATGTGTACTGTGTAGACACAATATAATGACACGAATGATAGTTTGAATGTGCATAACAGCCATAGTGTGGATAGCATTCAATAAGTTCACTGCAAAAAAAGATTGACGAAATTAGACAGCAAGTGTGTAGATGGGAACATTTCATACAATATTAATTGCATCAATAAGAGTTCGGATCTTCCTCCCAACACATTAAATGAATTTCTGCTTTTTTACCTGTTGATTAATTTTGTGGAACATATTTGTTTAAGTTAAGGTATTTACATAATAAAGCCAGTATTGACACACGTTTCAATAATTTTTGGCGCAAATTTGAGTTTGAGAACAAAAACATTAATCCGTTTCACGACCATTTTTTAGCTCATTTGACACAATATCAATTAACTTTATCATTGATTAAAGTCCATATATGACAAATTAAAATTGCTAAGTTACGTTTCAAAATTGTTGAAAATTACTAAACTTTCACAAGTGATTGGTCTTATTTGTTTCGAAGAATTCATGCAATTGACGAGTAAGAACCAGCATTCGGAATTTTAGTGTGTTTTATGATGGATCATATTATGCGAAATCGAGCTAACTCGTCCAAGGTAAAAACACTAATGCTTACAGCCATGCACATGGTCTTAGCCATCGAAAGAGAACACTTAGCTTAGTCTTGGAAATATTTTATAACAGTTGAATAACAGTTTATATATTCCAGTTAAGCTTAAATCAAATATTTTGCTTTGACCTAACAGAACCCATAGCACAAGTTGATAGTCTTTTGGATAGGATATTTTTAGGAAACATTCTTGTGCTATAAAGACTCGGATGTATGGCACCTAATGGACAACCATGGCTAGTGATTTGTCATTAAAACTCGCTCTGTGGTACTTTAATACTCGATATTAGGCCTCACGTAGTCTACGGTTGAAATTCCAGGAAAAATCATACAAGCATCAGAAGATCGAATGCTGCATACCCAATAAGGAATAGCTGCAAGAGAGAATAAAATATTTATCAAGGATGTACTAATAAAAAAATTCAACTTAGGCTTAATCTTTAAGGTCTGATGCTATTATAGAATACCTGAGCCCTAGTATAAAGAAGACTGGTACAACAGATCAGGCTTCATTGACCAATCACAAGCCATAACCAACGTTAGGCGCCCTCCATCCGAGTCCACCACACTGGCCACGCCGCTTATTATATACTGCTCCTCATTCACGTCATTTTCTGGTTGGCTGCTCATCATCCTCGCTTGCCATTGGAACGCAGAGGGACAGAGATTTAGCTGAGGCCAGGTGGCCCAATATCTCTGCGCCCATTTCCGTTGCCACACTACACTACACTTCACCACACTACTCTATAAACCAACATGACAATTTGTAAAAGGGAAATGTTATATGTTTATTTTGTTATTGTTTCTGCGTTCCAAAGATGTAAAAACTTAATTGCGTATGACAAGATAACTAGGCAGAATGTTATATTTATTATGATAATGACGATGCCGTGATAAGTGCAGATTTACAAGTAATTTAAGGCTGGCATAATTTTAATTTCCAGCTTTTACGCACTTGTTCGTCCTTCAAAAATTAGTTTCATTTAGAGAAAAAACATGTCCAAATAAAAGTGTCTCAAAATGCAAACAAATTTACCTAAGTGTTTATGCTGTTTTGTTGAAAATAAACTAAAAACCAACTTACACCAGAATTCACGTTGCGACAAAATATAGCAATGAAAAGATTGGACACATACTACATTATTGTAATAGAGGTACCATTATTTCTTAAAACCCGAAGTAGCTCATTTATAAAAACCATCCCAAGTGTCCAAGCAAAGCTAAGAAGCTAATAGCAGTCATTCTCTCATCCAATAGAAAAAATTCGATTAATAAATGGTTTTGTCATTTTTTCAAATTTAAGCATATGAATTTTAACTTACACGTCCGTATTAAAAGTGGTCTTTTTTCGAAGTATCCAATCAAACCCTAATCCTTCTTCAAGTTTATTGCGTGACATAACAAAAACTGAATTATTTCCTTTCCCCAGCGTTCGTTTAACATAAAGAAAAGTTGAATTGTTTCAAAAAAAAAATTAATTATTTTGCGTGCATTTGACTTTATAATACCTAAGGAACCTCTAAAGTACCACCAACTAATGCTTTTAAATTCACCACGTGAATCAAATTGACGCATGGAAGATTTCGGCTTATTTTAGACCCATTTTGTGCATATTCCTGGAAAGAAACAAATAATAATAATAATAATACAGCTGTACCTATTCATTTTTTAAATATGAATAAGTTATTATTCAACGTAATTTAAATTCACCATGCAGGACAGTGATATCACACCTTTTCCTCGTTTTCTTAAACTCCACTGTTTTCCATCTGACCGAAATTGCGTCCTGATACATTTTAAAAGTTTGGTGTTTAAATTATGTTAAGACCAGTTAAAATATTAAAAGGTAAGTAATTTTGTGATTAATATCGCAATCAGAATTCCATCTTGAGTTATATTGTGTTAATTATCACGGCGGCAAATTCAGTATTTAATGAGTGAATTTGTTGCCGTTTTGCCTGCATAGAAGTAGTCGGTATGTATAATGTTTTCGGTTGCTTACGTATTGTGAGAGTAGTGCGTATTGACTATGGAAGGCCAACTGGATTGCAGTGAGGACTTCATGAAATATCTTGGCTCAACACGTTTCTCTACATACGAAGCTTTTAATTCGAGCCTAGAGGCCTTTCAGAAGGCAGGTTTCAGATTATTGTGTCAGGATATGAACATATTTTGTAGGCTAGTCAGACTTATTTCAAACCGACAACATCAACATACTTCCCGTCGAAAACTATTGAGAGGCAACTGTTATTCTATAAATATATTCGTTTCGCATGCGAAATGCATAAAAAATCTATCGTGAAAGATGGATTTGAGTAATCAGGGACGTTTCTGAAAACCAATTTTAGTTTTGGTGGTACTGGTTGTCCAGCGTACTTTACGGTCGGTTCCCGTAACTCACAACTGGGTGTTGTTAAGTACTACATGGTGCACAACCACGAAGCCTATCCAGAGGTAGAATCAGTTGGTGTTGTCCCGGAACTTTGTACTGCTGATGATGGTAAAATATCAGTTATTAGCCATGTAATGCGTTCTTATTTAGATAACAATGCCAGTGTTGACTGCACCGCCGCCTTTTTGGAAACATTCAAGGAGAAATTATTTGGCAGTTTTGCTGAGTTGCAAGCCAAAATGGATGAGTTTCAGCGTATAACTGGGTCTCTGTATGGAAAGCGAAACACCAAACGGTTTCCTCCTGAATCGCCTTACTCAACCACATTAGTTTATAAATCTTTCACGTATGAGTGCTATCACTATGGTACGCACAACGGCGATTCAACCATGCAAAGAGTTCGGAGGTAACTAATTGGGAACTTTCGTTATTTTTTAAGGTCAGCGAAAATCGGTTGTCGGTCAAGAATTCACGTAAGCTGCTACCGAAACAAACTAAAAATTGTTCGATTCGACGTCAAGCATAATCACGATGTGGCCCCCGAGCGCGCCAAATCATACCCCCGGAACCGTCGTTTAACTCAGTCCCAACTAGCCGTCGTGGAGGGTATGTTTCAAACCAACCAAGACAGTCATGCTATAAAGGATTTCATTGAAAGTACGTTGTTCTATAACCGGATATTTTTTCATAGATACTTTTAACACCACCTGCACAATGTCTGATGTACGCAATATAAAAGCTAGGCTGAAAGCCTCCGTTCAGAGCGCGGTAGAATCAATTGATGAAGACGATGGTCTACCAAATTTGCCATCGTTCTCCTCGTCCAGGGGCGCAACCCTAGATGGCATGATAACCCAATTGACCCCTCATTTAGAGCATATTCAGGATTTATTGCTTTCGTCGCCAAATCGCGAGGCTTTTGATTCCCGCATCAGGTGTCTAAGCAGGCTCATTGAAATTTGGCAGGAGGGCAAAGAAGCCATGGTTTTAGTACCCCAGAGACATGTAATTATGAACGTGGGACACGAGAGGTCGTTGCCTGGTGTTCCCCGCCTCCACTTAGTCCGAATGCCGCCGCCAAAGCCCTCTCCCAACCGTGATGATGTGTGCTACCGCCAGTCATCACCTGAAAATTTTCTTTCTTGAGTTTTTCTGTCATTATAATTCTGTACAGTGTGTTTTAATTTCCGATGATTCAATACAGTAATAACATGATTCCCCTTCAGCGGCGCTGCGTTGTTTTCATAATTTATTAATTGGAGTCCCTTATCCAGACTGTTTATCTTCCTACTGGGTGATAGTTTCTTAAGGTGTCATTGGCTTGAACACATCTTAAGTTAGGGGCTTCGGTTAATACTTTCTAGCATAACAAAATGGGTCAACTTCTACTGCCCTCTTTCATAGTGTCTCGAATTTCTGTTTTGAGGTATCTAATGCATTGTTAGTATCTCCAGTGGAGTTCAGTGATACTGGCCTTATTGCTGTTCATGCGTATTCTCGACGGTCTGTTCAGCTTCCCGCTAAAAGGTTCTCAAATCGGGTCATTCATTGGCAGATTTTATTCATGGTATTTTACTCTAATGTAGGGCGTCAGGTGTGGTAAAGTTTTCTTGGGAGTTGTGGCTCGGTCTATAGTTTGCTAAGCCACAAAACCAGTGGATTTTTCGCATTGACGTGTATTCAAGTGGGCGTGTCGGACTGCAGAATGGCTCTGAGTTTGCACACGGCGTGGCCCGAATTCCAATTAAGGAATAAACCCAGATGAAGGAATAGCGGGTAGTGGAGGTGGGATTTGTGCTGGGGTATTAAAGAAAAATGAGAGTCGGGTGGAGGTTGGGCTACCCATATTTCCGTTTTAATGTTCTACTGGTTTCCTTGCGTCTGGTGTTAATTTATGAGAAAGTCGATGTATTTTACTTAAATGCAAATCTCTAATATTCAGGCGTGTTTTCGTTCCTGTTTATTTTTTGCTGCAGCCTGGTTGGGAAGATGGAAACTAAATTCCCCTTAACCTAAAATTATAAAAGTTACGGAAGGGAAGCTCAACTTTCCCAGACGGCAGTGCAGAGGTTAATGTTCCATTTTGCTTCCAAATGACGGTGACTTGACATCGAGAGAGTATCCAATAATTTTCCGGAAACATACGATTACATTGGGAGCCTGGTTGTTAGGCATAAATTGCCTAAAGCCGATTCCAGATGTGAGCAATATGTCGATAATCTGAAGGGTTTTGAATCACACAAACGAATTGACTAATCTCTCACTACGAAAACTGACTATAAAATATCCACGTATTTGGAACTGGTGATTCAACAATTCGACAACCTGAATATTTGGTGGGTAAGTATACTTAATGGCCGTCCAGTGCATAAAAATGGCTTATAAACTTCCGAATCTCCACCAAGGTTAACTCGTGTTATTTTAACCAAAGCTACTTTCTTCTACAATACAGTTACCTTAATAAAAGACCAGATGAGGAACAATGTGCAGAATTTAAAATACAAAACATTTCGACAGTAAATAGCTTTCTTATGACTTTGACCTGTATTATTCTTAGGAATTTAATTCGTCTGATCGATTATTACTTCGTACGCTCTCGATGTATGGGAGGGTGTATAAACGAAATTCGATTAATGTAAATTTTGAAGTAACTGTAGTAGCTCCAATGTGGTTCTCAAACCGCACGAAGGCCGACGACCTGCGTAGACACAGCCCAGCCAGGAACGAAGAAAAAGTACTAAGACAACGCGGTGCTCAAACGATCGATTGCGTTAGTTTGAGTGCGGTTGCTTAGCCTGACAAATTGTCAGCATACACAAGAATACTTGTGCTACGTTTTACCCTGTACGTTGATGCCAATCCCCTAGCTAATTGCTTTGTGTGCACTTTTACGTCCATTGTAAATGTATGTTTGAGTGCCTTTCTAGGGACCAGCTGACTACAATGTTGGAACAATGGATTAAGTGAATAAGACTGGGGGATGAGTTGTTGTAGTGAACAACTGGCCGAAGTGACAGTATAATTGAAATCCAATGAACAGAACTTGAGTGAATGGTCGTCAAAACTCACAGTGGTAATTTACTTGCCCTGGGGAATGTTGGCATCCCCAGCAGCCTGACTTTCGATTTCAGAATCAACGCCAATACGCGAAGTGGATTCTAGACAATCGATTGAAGTCGCTTTCGTTCGCGCCTGCTAAGGGCTTTTGTGAAAGAATTTGATTATACCCCTACTTGGATGTGGGGGTCGCTGACACCAAAATTGACCTATTGATGCGCTGGCCGACACTGTTCAGTTGAATCCAGTGAGCACGCAACGGGCGGTCGTTTCTTAAAACCCAACCTGCTTTTAACAAGACAGTATATTGTTTGTCGGGGCTATTCCGATTAAGACCTACCATCTTTGCCGCTATCCAATTTTAAGTGAACAGAAGAAGGCCCGTGTACTAAAGTGATCTGGCAAATAGGAGTAATTGTGCACGACCAGTTCGCACTGGTCCTGTTGCGTTTCCACTATAAATGATTACATTATCAGTTCAAAAATAGATTAATACATTCTAACGCATGTCCTTTCAAGCAGATTCAATCATAGCAATTTTTGTGGCAGTGATATTACTTTATCGTGGACGGTAGTCAGTGATCTGCATAAATTGTAACATTAAACAAAACTTCCGCCGTGATTGGGCCCAGTAAAACTTCAAGCAGATTGTTAAATGTTGCACAAATTCCAATGTAATCAACACAATACTTCTGTCTCACAAATTGAGGAATGCGTTTTTCTAAGCAATCTTTTCCGTAAATCCTTGCCACTGTTCCCAGATATTGATTCGATTGCCTGCCCATCCAGCCCAAATTCAAACCTCTTGTTTGTTAAGCTACTTTGAAAGGTTAAATGGTCGAAAAAGCTATCTCAGAATAGACCAACGGCAAAGTGGACCCCGATCGCCGCAATGAGTCTCAGCGCCTGCCATTTCATTTCCCTCGAACCGAGTTTCGGGGCTCCGCTCGCTCTCGGTAGCCTGACCAAGCACTTTAAATTTCCGATTCTGCGCATGAAGTCGCTTTTAAATAGCCAAACTGATCACACTGCCAAATCTATTTTGTGGGATGGCCTGTAATCGGGTTCCTGAAAACGGATCATCAGGGTAAATGGTTGCAGGACGTCTTGCAACTGTTCGTTTAAATTATTGTCTGTTGCGGACGAAAGCTGACCATATTCTTCGTGCACTTTGTGACAATAATGATTAATTTATGGCATTTCACATACTTGTGGGATTCTTGCATGTTGATTGTACCGGAAATCCTCCATACTCCTACACAAAGTTCCTAAATTTTAAGCGATTCGGCTTGAGGGAGATTTGTCTGCTTAATACAAGAAGTCCGTGCTAAGAGAGCTGCCTGTTTACACTTTAGGGGTTCGTGGTTTCCGAACACACATTTAGACTGTTCCAGAGGATGTCAACGAAGTGACCTTAGGTCTGCCTGTAATATTCTAATTTGGGTTAATATTCACAGCTCTCATTAAATGAACGCTTGAATGAGGGGGTTATTATTGTGAAGTTTGGATTTTTGGCGCCGTAAACGCCACACTGCTCAGTAACTCACACTATGTTCAAAAAATCTCACCTTTGGATTAGTTTCTGCATACTTTAGTTCAAATATAACTGTTCTCGGTGTAAAACTGAATGTAAGTCTTATGCAACTCTCAGATATCAATTTTTTCAGTTACCTCACTTTCAAATGCTTAGTCTGTTTTGGCTTTAACTATATTAGCTTTTTGGAAAAAAAATACAACAGTGCCGTTAGCCTCGTCGCACTTTATTTTCAAATCCGTCTTAACCGATCAGCATCAAGATTTAACTTTATTCCGCGTAATGTGTGCATAGGATTAAACTGATAAATTTTTACTTTTGCCGTATATAATCTTCTTAAGCCATTCCCAATTAGCTATCAACTCAGTATTTTTCATTGCTTACTCAAATTAGGTCCTGGTCCGATTAAACAGAAGTAGTGCAAGTTTAAGTAGACGACGACTGATGCCGGATCTAAGCTACTGACTTATGCTGCTGGACGATCAAGTAACACGCGCCAACAGCGTGTTCACAGCTCGGATGACAGTGACATGTTTAACACGGCAATGAACGGTGTGACAGCAATGTGAGGACGAGGTCAAAGGGTTTTTTAGTTATTTCATGATAGGTCTCATAAAGGCTAATAGGTATCCGATTTAAATCATTTGTCAACTTATTTTCAAACAATTTGGAGCTGTGAGCGTTCCCCAAACTGTACATTCTGTTTAAATTATCGTCAGTCTCCCTTCGCAACAGATTCATTAGCTTTGCTTCACATAGTATTTTACCAGAACGGTTTTGAGGACGCTCTATTTACCGTCAAACAAATAGCTCTGAATGCCTCATTACCTGACTTCACCCTAACCTTAATGATGTGACTAATAAACCTTGAGTGCTACTGACTTTGTCTTCCCAGTTTCTAACGTGTTTATGTCGTCAGTAATATTTTAGTCGGTCCTGGTTGTTGGTAAACCAAAGTCTACGCAGAAAAATGATCGGAAAACAGGTCACTTTCGCAACTGTCAAAGCTACATCTTAAATCACTGTGCCTGACTCAGGAAATAGACACTATCAGCTTAGTTTTCGACTTATTAAACAAACGCCACGATAAATAAGTCTACGGCACAAGCCAACATCATGACAACGTTTGATTCATTGTAACAGTTTGTTAAATTTGTCTGCTTTTGAAAAATCGACACCCAGATAACTTGAAATTAGTTCGTAAGTATGCAATTACGTAGTACAAGCGTTGGGTTTTTTGACTGAGTGTTTAGACGGTCAAAGGAATTCTGGTTTTTAACTTAGCGCGTTTGTGCGATTTTCGGAATTAAGTGGTGTACAATGCTCAAAAAAGGACGGATCGGAGATGCGATACGGATCAGAAATTATCATCCAAATTTATATCTTATTCGGTCGGAGCAGAGGTGGCGATGAAAGCGACGCCAAATAAACACGCGTTTAAGACATGATTCGTCACCGTGACACATGTCACCCCTTCTAACTTGCGTGTTTGCGGGTCAGATGTGGATTACGTGCGCTCAAGGAAATTCGGTTTCGTGAATCGTGACATTTCGTGTAAGATCTTATATTGCAACCTTCCTTCCATTATATTCTGCGCCTACCAGGAAAGAAAAATAAATACATTGCTTAAGCCTAAATTCACGCGAAATAAAATTATACGCAATTTTTTGCCATCATAAATTCATCTGAATTTAACTGATCTCGCTGTATTGAATTGGGAATAATTCAGACAAGCTTCTGAAGGGTGTTGCTGTGAAAATGATGCAATTAATTATCATAATCCAAAATGTTTGTAAATAAGGTTTAGGCATAAAGAAGTCCCCAGGAAATAGTAAAAGGCCTGGTTTAATTTGCTGCCTAAAAATTTCTCCTGATAACAAATACGTGTAGTTGGTAGATCGGCCCAAATATCAGGCACCAAATGTAACTCAGCAAGGTCTTACCATTAAGGAAAACAGTGAATATAGCAGCGAAAGGAGTACTAACGTAAATAAAACCACATATTTTGAGACGAAATCTACATAAACTTGGAAGTTATCTCTATATTTGGCTACGTGGACAACTTCAGAACCCTGGAAAGTGCTTTGGGTAGACAGTGAATAAGAATGTTAGGAATAAAGAAATGATACACAGCTAAATTTTGTGCACGGAATACGCATCATTTAAAATCTCTCATTTAAAGCTTTCGTAATTAAAGGCCTTATACCTCGCAAGCCTTGTCACGCTTCACAGAAGAGTAGGCTTGAATCGTCAGAACAGATTCCTCGTGGTAAGAAGATTGGCAACATGCATTAGCTGATTTATCAGCCTCAACAATAGGATGCGACCCAGCCAGTGGATTAGTGTGAGGGAACTTCCAGATTTCACAGCGACTCCTCCCCCAGCATGGTCAAGAGGTTTTAGTGGCTGCTGCATGGCAAGGGATCACTTTGAGGGCCTCAGTCCTCAAATGGCAGCCGTGGCAAGTAGGTAAAAAGGTGCGGAGGTTCGTCGACTGAGTAAAAACAAGTAGACATGAGGTAGGCGCGTGCTTCAACACTTGGTGCAACAGCATTTGCCACAGATGATCCATCGAAGCCCAAGCTCGAAACCTGAGCAACCCGATCTTACTTCATTGCCCACATGAGGCCAAGTTCCTCATCATCGAATTCGGGCTCATTTCTGAGTTTGCACTTCACGTATAAAACAAGACCTTCTGGAATATGCACGTCGGGACTAAGAGACTCGTCAAGACGCTGTTTGTTGTAAGGTTGGTGGTCGTTGTGGAGGAGGGCCTGTCATTTGCAACTCATTGAGACAGTGCACACGGGAAAATAGTTTAGCTGCTAAGATGTTGCCTTGTTTGAAATTCGCATGGACCCTTCAAACAATTTAACCTGCCACCTTATGGCATTCAGGAAATATCAAAATGATAGTGCAGATCTATTTGCCAGAGAAGTCGAAAAATAAAGCTCTCTTCTAATGTGCACCAGGGACTATTGGTCTATTTACTAATTATGTCATTCGTTTTCGTTAAATTTGTGACATTTTAACATTTAGTAATTTTAATCGAGACTCAGACAATGGCATTAGAAGTTAATGAGCTCGAATCACTGAAACAAAGGAGCGAAAATCCGTGACAACCCAATGATTAAACGCTTCTGTGAGTTGATCCGCGAGCTCACTCACACCCTAACCCCGCTCTGAATTATAATTGGTTACTTTGGCACATAAATAGACGTGAGCGCGCAGCGAAAAGATTCACGTGGAACTGAAATAATGTCTGCTACGCACACCGAAGGTCTAGATGTTTTCGAGGGTGGGACGATAGAGGTGCCTGCGAAGAAAAAAAAGAACTTCTTCGTGGAAAATTGGTTCATGATCACGACAATTATCGGTGTGGTGATAGGGTTTGGTGTCGGCTTCGGCATCCAGAAGGTTGGTATCAGTGAAGCTGGCAAAATCTGGATTGGTAAGCTCGATCTTTTGTGCCACTGGTAAATTGCGTTTTACAACTATTGTAAAGGTATATGCTAATTCTGCGTGAATGCATGGGACCAAATTTAGAGCTTGTTTTAATATTTTTTAATATGCAGCCTACCACCATTACATACGCTGATATAAGAATTAAGGTATGTTGTACGCACTGGAATATTTGTACCCACAAACTAGAACTCGTGTATGTTACAAAAAGCAGAAATCTGATATAAAACATTGCATTTTTGGTAAAATTTCGCTTTCCTTAAGGGATT